TTTTATTATAATTCCTAAATTGTATGCTACAAACAGCAGAGTTGAACTCTAAAACCTTGGATTTGAATCAAAACTCTGCCACCTCTTGTGGACTTTGACAAATTACTATTCACCTTTGAGTTTTTTTCCTCAGCTATAAAATGAGGTTAAGAATTCCAACTTCACAAGATCCTAAGAAGTAAATTAAATGTACATGCACCTACTCTGACATAGAGGACTTAGTAACACATTTGCTCATTTTTGTCCGCTCATTCAAATACATCCACAAGGCAACAGGATTAACTAGTGATACTGTGAAATACAGAGAAGTATCTGTTTTGCAAATGTTTGTTGAAAAAAATACTTTTTTTCTGCAAGTGGCCAAGTTGTTAGGACAAACATATGGTCACTTTTGGGGATCAGTTGCTAGTTTTTGCTTGGGGCATAAGCACACTTTTAAGCCAAACATGCCTTGCAATTTATGGAGAACAGACACACTACAGTTTTGTGCATTTGTCTAATTATATGAGGGCATGTGCTCTAGTTCTAGTCTCAAAATTAATTTACCACATAATATAGATAATTCCTTATATAGAATCTCTGGCTCAATAATAGAGTCTACAGGTCCTGTATGCTACAAGAAGGATAGTAGAGGATAGTTTAGAGAAGGAGCTGCAGTCAGGAATCTTGGGTTTTATTTTTGGTTTTCACTATCATTACTAGACTTCTTTTTTCTTTTTCCTATCAGACTTCTAATGAGACATAAAACCTCGGTTTTTCTAAGCTTTATTATTATTTACTACACAGAACTGGTGTCATAAGATCTGCTTCTCAACAATGGTGTAACACTTAATTGTTGTTTGTAACAACATTTGAGGTACACAGGCAGATGTTTTTAAAGAAATGCAAAAGAGTCGATTAGCTTATTAGTATCTCTCTTTGTACTTTTGCTAAAATTTAACTTTAAATTTATACTAAAACTAAAATTAAATTTTCTTATTTTATGCCTAGTAAAACAATGGAGACATTTAAAAAAACAAAACCAAAACCAAAAAAGTTGCATTAAAACAAATTTATGCACAAAATGACAAAAAGCAATCTCTTTCCACTTAGTTTTGGAAACAGTGTGTTAATTGCCTCATAGATGAATTTTTGGTGCGGTGCCCTATAAGGTGACCAACCATTCCAGTTTGCCTTTAATTTCCTGTTTTTAGTACTGAATTCCACATCCCCAGAAATCCCTGTTCTGTGTCACCTGGGATGGTTGGTCACTCTGTATCCTGTCATTGCTACAGGCTTTTCCATAGCTTACAATTCTATTATCTGTCCTTAGAAAAATTCCAGTGCTAATATTCTAATTTCTATTTACCTGAAAAGCACTTTCATATTCTTCGCGTTGGAATTTTGTTCCTAACCATTTGGTGAACATATAAATACTTATGAAATTTAGCTCCATGAGTAGATATTTAATAAACAGAATCTAATTTTTTTTACCTTATTAGAATATGGGGGACAATGGGAGTAACTAATTACCAACAGTGATTCTTTTGGCACCATGGAAATATTAACTTGCTTATTCTGTTTTTCAAGGACCTTAACCTGTTGTTGTTTACAGACTACTGTACTTCTACCCAGTAATCACCATAGCTGAGAAAGTAATAACACAGTCAGTACCTTTACAATCAAGTCATTTAGAAAAACATTGTATGTGGGTCAGTCCTAGGCCAATAGAGACAAGTTGGGGCCAGAGAGAAGTTGTTACACAGGTTTCCTTAAATAGCACTATAGCCTAACCTGATTCCAGGATAATCTCTAAAATATCAATGGAGTGAGTGTTGCTGAAAAAATTATGAAGGTTTATCCATGAGGAGGAGACCCCAAAATTCAGAAGCACTACAATATTTCCCATGACATTGACCAAAAAAAGAGTCATGGGACGATGGAAAAGTTTTCTGAGAAAAAAGCAGACCCATTTTCTTTCCTGAATATGGGAATAGCACAGGCCTTGTACATACATATATAATTAAAATAAGGTCAATTAAAAGGCTATAAACCCAATAGGCTATAGTTTTCTCCACAAGATGCAAGGTGATATATGACATTTTTTAAAGTTCTAGTTTTTTTTGGCAGTTAACTATGGTGCCAAGCACTGTATCATCTACTTTAGATTATTTCACTTATTTCTCACAAAGAATTATATGAGAATAGGAATTATAATCCTATAAAGTAAAGCTCAGAGAGGTTCAATAATTTGCTCAAAGTTATAGATGGCAACTGGAAGAGCAGAAGCAAATTCAACTGTTTTTTTCAAAGCCTAAGCTTTTAACCTTTAGCCTATGCTGCTTCTCAACATTGTTGACATAAACTCTAGAGAAATTCTATCTCCAGCCCTGACTTCTTTTGTATGCTAGCATTTAGAACTTCCTATTCAACACCTCTACCTTGTTGTCTAAAAATCTTCTTAAATTTAATGTTTCAGTAAATGGAATCACCATTCACCCACTTGTTTAAGACCCAAATCTAGTAGGCATCCTTGATTCTTCTAACAATCCCATCAGCAAATCTATTGGCTCTACTTTCAAACTATGCCTGAATCTGACCACTTATTATCATTGCCTTTATCACAGCCCCAGCCCAAGCCATTATCATTGCTCACCTGGACTACTGAGACAGCCTCATTATTGATCTCTGCTTTCATAGTCCATATTCCATAAAGCAGCCATAGTTATATTTCAACTATGATCACAGATCATGTTGTTTTATTCTTCTGCTTAAAACACTTCAATGCTTCCCATTGCAATGATGTAAAACTTAAGATGGTCCACAAGGCCCTGCTGCCCTCCTGCCTTGATCTGCCTTCTCTCGCTATAACCCTTAACAATTTCTTTCTTGCTTAGCATGCTTCTGTCACATTGGTCCTTATGATTTCAAATTTCTCTGCGAATGTCTTCTTTGAGAGGATTTGGATAAGCAAGGTTGGGGGTTTGAGAAAACTGGTGAAGGTTTGAGTTGTCTAAAGTGGAAGCACAATTCAGAAAAATTTAACAGGATTGCTGGCTGGTGTTGAGGATTCTCTTGTGCTTGTTCATTGGAACTTAGTAACAGAATGCATGTTGTTATACACATTTCTGCAGTAGTGGTCAGCTGTTCCAGTCCCAAAGGGGAAGATATGAATGGTAGGGTTCATTTAAAGTAGTGGTTTGATGAAAAAAAGAAAAGGCAAAGGAGTTTAGGGCACTGATTAAGTGCTACTGTTTTTTTTCCCCCCTGTAAGTATCTTGCAATGGGGATGGGGTAGAGAGAAGGGTTGCTTGTGTCCTTAGCTTGTCCCAGTTGTGGAAACAACATGGAGTTGCTGAATAGAAACAGAATGAAAGGACCAAGATCTGCAGTACTAGCATTGATGTTAAAAGCTTTAATGTGCAAATCCTGTTTAGGAAATCTGATTATTTAAAAACTTCAAAAAAAAAAAAAAAGGACAACTTAGTAGAGGCTTATTTACATTCTATATTTTCTAACTTTTCAAAATCAATTTCCAAAGGGAACCTGTTTGATGAACAGTAAGATTTATCAATAAGCTAGGAATTCAGATTTGAAAAGATTTTCAGTTTGACCAATCCTCCTTCAGAACACTTGTTTGGCTCTCCTGTCCTACTTACAAAGACTTAAGTCTACTCTTAAAGTAGATGAAGGTGAAGGGGTTAGCTAAAGAACATATATTCATACCCCACAGACACAGACTGGTGATAGCCGGAAGGGAGGACTGAGGATGGGTGGAGGTGGGGAAAATGGGGACATCCATAGTAGTGTCAACAATAAAAGAAAAATGACATAAAATACCTTTCTGTCCTGGCTCTTAAATTGCTTAATATTACTCCCCCTTCAACTTTAAGCTCCCCAAACTAAACTACTATATACCTACTGTGCTTTTGGTTCTGTCATTTCCTGAGGCTAGACCATCTTCCCCTACCTACCAGCACCTGTTAACACTCAGTTCACACATTTCCAGATAACCAACAAATACTATCTCTTTGCTGTATTTGGTCCTTGTAGCTATTTCTATTATTGAATTGTTGTATTGAAACGCATTTTATATACTCTGAAATATGTAATACATATTATGTATTATAAAGCATTTTTTTATGATTGATATTGTAGGTCACACAGAGGCTAACAGGGCAAGTATTTTGTTGCCTTGGTTAAACTCCTTTTCTAAGAGGACTGTGGCTTCGTGAATATGAGAAATAATAGCCCTTCTACAGTGCCCAATTAAATCGGTGCTGGTTGAGCTGAGCTCAGGAAAAGCTTCTTTAAAATGACGTCACTATAGGCGACTTTAAAACCACTGCTCGTTTGTGCCAGTGTGCAGAAGCAAACTACTTAAAATGAGGTTCATTAGTCACACGTTTAGAAGTTCTGTATAAAACAGATTTCAATTTACTAGCCTGGACAGGGATTTTGGCTCAACTTCTGAGATTCTCCCAGAATAACTCTACGGTGGGCAAGAAGGCCGCTCCCCCACCAGCTTGCGGGAGGGGTATGGATCCCTAAACCCGGTGGCTAAAAAAAACACCCTGGGCGGTCCGGGGGTGGGGTGGGGCAGAAGGCCTTCTCGCAGTGACGGCGAGGCCACTGCCTCCTTAAGTGCAGGGTCTAATGGTCTCCGCCTCGGTTGCGACCGCAGCCGGAACAGAGACCATTCTCACTGTGGCGCGCTCTCAGTGTCGGGAAGGGCCATGGGGTCTCCCCAGACTCCTCGCAGGGGCAACGGGGCGGGGCGCGGTGACGCCAAGAATAGTGACGCGACTACGCAGCGCGACGCCGTGACGCTCGCCCCTTTGTTGGCTCAGTAGCGGTAGCAGCGGCCGTGGAGGTGGCGCTGGGGACTCTTTTCTGTCGGAGGCCGGAGCGGAACCGCGTCTGACTGAGGCGGGCGGCAAGCGGCCCCCTCACTCCCTCCCTCCCTCCCTCCTCCGCGCCCTCCCCGCCGCCGCCGTCGCTGCCGCCTTCAGCCGGCAACTGCCAACCGCCGCGCCTGGGGAGGAGCTGCGGCCCGCGGGGCCGGAGCCAGGCCTGCGTCCGGACATTAGCCGGAGCCGGAGCGAGAGCCGGAGCCTGGGCGTCCCCGCCCTCTCCCCCCCTCAGGGACAGCGTCCGCTGGGCCCCCGCGCGTCGCGCCATGGACTCGGACGAGGGCTACAACTACGAGTTCGACGAGGACGAAGAGTGCAGCGAGGAGGACAGCGGTGCCGAGGAGGAGGAGGAGGACGAGGACGAGCCGGACGATGATAACCTGGATCTGGGCGAGGTGGAGCTGGTGGAGCCAGGGCTGGGCGTCGGCGGGGAGCGGGACGGATTGCTGTGCGGGGTGACGGGCGGCGGCGGTGGCAGTGCTCTGGGACCCGGCGGTGGCAGCAGCGGTGGCGGCGGCGGCGGCGGGCCGGGGCACGAGCAAGAGGAGGATTATCGCTACGAGGTGCTCACGGCCGAGCAGATACTGCAACACATGGTGGAATGTATCCGGGAGGTCAACGAGGTCATCCAGGTGAGGGTGGCCGCCGCGCTGGCTTTACCGGGCTGGACTAGGGAGTAGATTCGGGGTCCCGCGCGGCCCCGAGGGGCAGGCCTGGGCCTGGTGCGTAGCCCAACCCGCTGCCTCCCCGCCCTTGTCTCCTCCGCTGCCTCTGCTGGGGACGGAGTGTCGAAAGCAGACATTCGCCGGTTTGCCGGGTGTAGGGAGGTGCGTTGGGGGCGGCGCTTTCCAGGTCCTGCTATGGCGGAGGCCTCCGGCCGCCTGAGACTTCTTTTGCGGGCAATTCCTGGCTGTCTCTGGGTTCGGTGTCCTTCCTCTGGCACGAGGAGCGACCACAGGGGCGGGGTGGAGAAGAACAGGAAAAACTGGGCTTCTAAGAGGGGTACCCGGCCTTCAGTCTCACTTGAGCACTTTTGGAAGGGGTTAGAGGAGGCCTAAGAGCAGCTTGGTGTACGCTTGCCTCAAGTGGGCATCAGTTAATAAAGAAATGGATCTGCTTGGCAGTCTTAAGTGCCTACTTAAAGGTGGGGGAAGGGAACGATTTCTCGGAAGAGGTGCTGATGGGCCTTTTCCGATGTTGAGGTTTCTGCTTGCATCTTTTTACGTCTTTTGTTGTTTGGGGACTAACTCCTGCTTTTCCCAGTTGTAGCATATTACTTTCTTGAAGCTGTTGGAAGAGTTATTGCAGATTACATACCCAGATTTGCAGCTAAAACAACAGCAAAATGCAGTGTTATTGTTTGATGTTGGACAAAAGTCTATTGTGGTTTAGAAAGTAGAGGCATTTTGCTTTTGGTCTCTCTTGTAATTTCTGTTTCGTGGTCAGTATGTTAGGCTTGGTTTAGATCGATAACCCCATTTTATTTAACATTCTAGAGGGTCAGATTTTGCATATTTGAGCTTTAGGAAATAAGAAATTTCCATTTGTTTGAGAAAAAGTTTTGATGAAGGGTCAGGTATACGATTGAAGAATAAAAAGGAATCTTGATTTAGTGCAACTTTTAGAAAACACAAGTTCCATGGAAGGAAACTATGTACATGAGCAGCAAATTACTATGCCTTCTTGTACAAGGTCAGTCATTACATTATTTTCCCCCCTTAAAATCGATTGGCTAATATTCACTGGCAAATTAGCAGTATGTGACTGCCTACTTGTTGAGTTTGCATGATTAACAGATTTTTACTATATTGTCTAGTAAGCAACACTGTCTTTTGAAAATTATACCATCTATTTAGGCCCATTAGAAGGCAGTGTTTTTGAATAATGGTAAAAAAAAAAATCTGTGATATCTGGTGCTATTACTAAAGAGTGGAAATCTCAACTTTCATGTAGATAATATGATCTGAGGAGGAAATTGAAGGGTTGTAGAAGAAAGATAAGTTTTACTCGCTTTTCTAATTCTCAGAATATGACAGTTGACTTAGGCCACTAAATTGAGGATTTTTTCTTCTTTTTTTGAGGAAACTTTATCAAAAGAATTCACAGAAAATGTTGAATACTCTTAATTTTGTGCGACTATATAAAATCTGATGTTTTCATATTATCTAGCTTATTGGCATTTCAATTAGCTTAAAAGAAGTGAATATTTTATTACTTAATTTTTTAACTGATGGTCTGTTTTGATGTAGTTAAATCTCATCCAACTTTCTCAGCTCTTAGATGTGTCTTAATCACTGAGGTCAAACAAGTTTTTTTATGGCACTTCTGGAACAGACAATATAGTTAATGCTTTCCACATCATTCATTCTTTGTTATTTTGGGGGGAGGTGGGGAGAGAATGAACATGAATGAATGGAACTAAAAAGACCCACAAAATACTCAGGATTTTTAAGGTGTCCTACTTTTACCATGTTTCCATGCTTGAGTTTTCAGAAACTTTTTTCTAGTCTACTTTATGTTCAGGATGCTTTTAAATAGAACTCCTAAATATAAAATATTTTTCCCTTGCTGAAAGTTCATATTCATATGAAGGGAAAGTTCATATCCCTTGCTGAAAACATCAGTAAATCAAAGGATAGGATTTTTATCCCAGACCATCTTTTCTCCAAATGATATACTTACTAGATGTAAACTATGCTCTGATTATGTTATAGGTTATTTATGTTAATAAATTTAAACACTAAAAGTTACACAAGTAATATATGCACACTGTAAGAAAAAACTGGGCAAGGGGAAAAAGACAAAATAAGCTGCCACCAATAGATACACCAAAATTGTAACTGTAGTTCTTTCCAGACCCTCCAGGTAAGCTATACATATTTTCTAATATCAACAGAATGATACTGTTCAGTAGGAAAACAGAAGACATCTCAACTCTTTACTGTCAGTAAATATTTTTCAAGTGTTTACGTGATCACAGATCTAAACTAATGTATTTAATGAGTCTGTTATTATTGACTTTCCTTTTTGTTTACTTTCTGGCTTTTATAAACCTCATTGGGAATACCCTCATAGATGAATCTTTGAATGGTTTTGTATTAGGATAAATTAAATTGCTGAGTCAAAGGATTTGCTTGTTTTCAAGGCATCTGAAACATTACCATATTGCTTTCAGAAAAGGTTATGCTAGTTTCCCCCCATCAGTTGGTGCTTGTTTGGGATAAAATGATCATTATTTACAAAATTTACTTTTTTAAAAAAACTGGTAAGGTTGAACTTTTAACACATTTATTGAGCATCAGTTTGTTTTTTGTAAATTGTCCTTTGCATTTACTCACTTTACCCCCTTTTGGGATATTAAATTTTATCGATTTATAAGATTTTATAGACATTAGAGGCCTTAAATATCAGTTCAGGTTTTTCAGTTTAAAAAACTAATATTGGTTTAGTGAGACAGTAAATTTTATCAAGTTAAAAACCATTGTGTTTCCTTAGTTCAACTTTGCTTGCTCGAATTCTAAAAAATTAAAATACCCTGCCCATCACCCCCTTACCCCCGTGCTACATTTTGATATGAAATTTAGGTATTTTATTAGTGAATTTGAAAATACATTTGCAGAAGAAAAAGATTGAAATGTAAAAAAGTTGCCAAGTTGGTCTTCCCTTGGGAATTTGATTACTTTTTCTGGGAGAGTAGTTCTGGGCAGCAACAGATAAAGGCTGTGATTTGTTGATATATGCTGGTTGGTTCCAGTCTTCAGTCAAATAAGTCAACACTTTTTCTTTGAGCAAACTCTTAGTTTTCTGGCTTTCTATAACTCTCTTGTTATAGTTCACTTTGGTCTAGTTTAAATTCTTTGTGGCTACCTACTGTGTTTTGCCATGTATAATGTGCACTTTCTTGCCCAAATTTTTGAGGGAAAAATAAGGATGCCATGTTGTACGTGGGTAGTCCTGAAATACCGTATATCTGTTTTTTGTAGTTAATTGTTATATAAAATTTCTTGTACCATAATATGTTCAGAAATAAATGCTTAAACTTCTTTATAATACAAAAAACAAGTACCTAAATATAAATAAATAAATTAATTAAACAATTAAAACAAAAGCTATTTTTCCTGAAAGTTTGGGCCAAAGACTTGGGCACACATTATACATGGGAGCTCATTATGCATGGCAAAATACGGTAGCTTACCTTTGGAACTCTTCGGAAAAGATCAGGGATTTTCTTTAGCTTTAACCAGTACCAATGACAGAGAAATGCTTACAGCCCTTACCTTACCCAACTATATTAACTAACTAGTATTGCTAATATTAGAAAGTAAGGTTTTTTAAATGTAATTGCCTAATTAGCTAGGTAACTTATTAAAGACTACACAATTCTGCCATTTGTGTTTCTACAACAATGTTCAGCAAATGTTGGTTGTGCCTGGGTTCCAGTTACCATGTTACAGTTTTTGCCTTAGGAGCATGTAGAGGTCCTTAGGCTCCATTGCCAGAGATTGTTATTCATTAGTTTAGCCTGACTTGGAGCCTGAACATATATTTTTATTCACTCTAGTGATAGTTGTGAACCACTAGAATAGTCACAGTTCATGCACTGTCATGATTCTGACTCTCAAGGAGAATGAGTAGAGTGAGAAGGGCAGTAACTCTTAGGAATACCACATTTAAAGAGTGTACTGAGGAAGAGGGGCATGGGCTATTTGGATGTGAGTGGTCAGAGAGAGGTACAGAGAGATGTGTGGGCATCTTGCTACTATAAGATTTATTATGCTAAATAACTTGTTTTAAAAAGGCCAGAGTAATAACCTAACCCTTGGTGGGAGAATTTTCGGTTGGCTGTTGATATTTCATCCCTTTTGTTTAATTAAAAGATTTAATTTAAAGAACTTATAAGGTGAGGTTTCAAGCATAAATTGAGAGGAACTTTATTCTAGCACATTTTGCATTGACTGGGAGTTAGTTCTAGCCCTGGCAAGGGAATTATATATATTAACCTTCAGTTTTTTTTAGCTTTTTTTTTTTTTTTTAAATCTAGGAAGTCAAAACAATAGAGTTGAATACTAGATTGATCTTTTTTACATTACTGTTTTGTTTAACATCCTTAATTGGAGATGCACATTGTTTCCAAGAAGTTGAACTCTAGTGTGCATATCAAATGTACTTAAATTAGTTAACCTATTTGGATGGAGAGTAGGGTGTAAGAGAGAGAGGAAGGGGAGAAAGTGTGTAAGAGTGTGGATGTATGGTTTGAAGGTCACAAGGAGTTGTGACCTTCACACTTCTTGAACTTTTAAATCTCCCAACTGATCTCCTTGAGCTAGAAGCTTTAAATTACACTAATTATTGTTGAATAAGAAACTCTTTAGGGATGGGGTCCAGCAGTCTGTTTTAACAAACAGTCCAGGTGATGCTAATGCAAGTTAAAGTTTGAGAATATTGAGTTGGTCAAAAAGTCTTTATTTTTTTCTGCAAAATTGTATAGTTGAAATTTAACAGTAGTGTTTCCCCTTGTTGTTATAACTAGTTGCAAATTACTACAGAGTTGGGTTAATGATGGGAGGCAAGTTGTTTAAGTAACAAATGGAAAATTTCAAGATCCTGAACAACAATTACTAGGCTATCCTTC